CACAGTTACCTACATGCCTCCAGCTCGCATCCAGAACACAAACTACGATCCATCGTCTATAGCCAAGCCCTTCGATACAACCGCATCTGCTCTAATCCCACTGGCAGAGACCAGAAACGTCTCGATCTCTACCAAGCACTTATAAACCTCAATTACACACTCGGAGAAATAAAAAAAAAACAAATTGAAAGAGCCAGACGAATACACTTACGCTACATCGATGACATCTTTATGATCTGGACCCATGGCCAAAAAACACTGGAGACATTCCACAGAAATTTTAACAACCTACTACCCCCCATCAACCTCAGCCTGGACCATTCTACACGAAAGATCCATTTCCTGGACACCACAGTACAAATCACCAATGGTAAATTAGATACCACTCTCTACAGAAAACCCACTGACTCACAGTTACCTACATGCCTCCAGCTCGCATCCAGAACACAAACTACGATCCATCGTCTATAGCCAAGCCCTTCGATACAACCGCATCTGCTCTAATCCCACTGGCAGAGACCAGAAACGTCAGGATCTCTACCAAGCACTTATAAACCTCAATTACACACTCGGAGAAATAAAAAAAAAACAAATTGAAAGAGCCAGACGAATACCCAGAAACCATCTACTTCAAGACAGACCTAAGAAAACCAACAATAGAACACCACTTGTCATCACCTATAGCCCCTAACTTAAACCCATCCAACACATTAGCAATAAACTACAGCCTATACTGGAACAGGATACTACACTCCGAGAGGCTCTGGGAGACAGACCCATAGTCTCCTACAGACAATCACCTAACCTCAGGATGATTCTTACCAACAACCACAGGACATACCACACTAATACCAACCTGGAACTTTTCCTTGCAACAAACGCCGTTGCCAGCTTTGTCCACATATTTACTCCACTGACACCATTATTGGACCTAACCAATTCAGTTATAAGATCAAGAACACATATTTCTGCTCATCCAGAAATATAATTTGTCATCATGTACATTGGATAAACGTCTCAGACACTTCGCCAAAGAATCAATGCACACAAAATGGATATCAGACAGTATCACAAAGAAAAAAGTTTCTTGCCATTTCAACCAGAAAGGGCATTGTCTCAATGACTTGATTACCTGCATACTGCTTCAAAGACATTTTAACACTAGACTTGAAAGAGACACACCTCTGAACTGTCATTCATGCTTAAATTTGACACTTTACACTGGGGTCTTAACAAAGACACTAATTATCTTACCCATTAAAGATAGCTTCCCCAATTATCACCTCTAATATCATTAGCTCACAGACATTTACCTTCCGCCCCCCCCCTTCCTTCCCCCTCTGTTCTGAAATTTGATTTGTCCTTTTTATGTGTGTTCACTTTTTTTTTTGATTGTATCCCTTTGGTATATATGGTCATGCCAATTTTCTTCCACGATTTGATCTGAGGAAGTGGGTCTTGCCCACAAAAGCTCATCACCTAATAAACCATCTTGTTAGTCTTTAAAGTGCTACATAGTCCTGTTTTTTGTTAAAAGGTGAGACTGCCTTTACCTCAACTGAAAATCAATTTTCAGTTAATTCAAGAACTGTCTTCAGGGATTTGACATCTAGAAAATGAGAAGAATTTGGTTTTCACCTCTGAGATGTACAGTGTAAAAAAAATCAGGCATAAAAGACGCATGTTCACTCAGCTGCGTCACTTGTGAGTTAAGGATGGGAAAGTGAGTTAAGTCGTTCTTATGAACCTAATCTGCAAAAAGGGCCAGTTTTGTTTCAAATGAAGAAACATTGCACATCAGAAAAAGCAAGTTTTTTCTTTGCCTTGAAGTTTAAGATCAAGTGTATTTAAGCAGTGTGCCATATCAGTGAGAAGTCATGTTTAACAGGAATGTTTCCGTCTAAACATGACAGCAAATACTGGCGATCCTTTGCCTCCAAAAACACTCATACAACAGGCAGTAGATCCATAAACTGATCTAACACTTTGCCCCAACTCAGCCATCTAACTTCTACAAGCATTGCCAAGTCACCATACTGTGCTTCATACTCCTCCACTAAAGCTCGAAATTGTCTATGTTTCAAGGCATTTGAAAGAATGAAGTTGACGATGTGTGTGACACTATCCATTGTGCTCTTGAGAAATCCTCTCTTCGGTTTGCTACATAACTGTTCTTGGTGCAGAATGCAATGGTATGAAAAGAAATCTGGAAACTGGATTTTTCTTCAGCAAATAAATTAGCCCCTCCTATTTTCCAACTATGGAGGGAGCGCCATTAGTTGGTACCAAAGTAAGCTTCTTCAAATCAATGCATTTTCCTGGTCCTTCAAAAAAAATGGCATCAGCGCAGTATAAAATGTCCTCTCCCCTAGTTTGACTTGTCCAAGGTAGCAGAGAAAGCATTTCTTCGACATACTTTTTGCCATTGAAAAAACATTCCTAGATTATGAGATGAGATATGTCTGAATGATTAGACATATCATTCAGTCCATTGCCAGACTGAAATACTGAGTGCTTTCAATGTATTTTAGCAATTTGGAAAACAGATTGCCTGAAATATTTTCAATTTGTCTTACTACAGTTGAATCAGACACTTGAAGTTTTGATATTTAAATTCTGCAAAAAGTGATTTGCTAAAGTCCAAGAAGCACTGCTTTGGTAAAAGTTCTTTTTGATTTTGCTATGTGCCAAGCCATTTTGAAGGAGGCTTCTGTAACGGCATTGCTTAACTAGTAAACGGAACATATCTTGTTGAGTATGGTAACCTTCCAGTAAGGAACGTATCTTAGTTTTTCTTAAATTGCTGTCAGGTGGATACAAGTCTTTGAACACAGAGTGACAAGATTAATGGTACCATTGCAGCTTTGTTTTCTTTAACGTAGGGATAGGCTTTTGACAAAGACGACACATTGGTTTTCCAGTTATCGCTGCAAAAGTGAATTTCATCTCCTAAACAGGATTGAATACCTTGTGATCATTCAACAAGTGTCTCTTTGTTGCTATTTTTAATGCTTCTTATTAAAAAGAAAATTGTATACCAGTGTTTTGGGTGTTTAGCTTGAAGCTTCAGGTTGTGCATTTCTTGGAGTGATTTTACAGTTAAAAAAAAAAAGTTTCCAAGCCAGAGAACTCCAACCTGCAGTGGGCAGGGAGCTGGGTGAGTCAGGCCGGACATAACAGGCAAAAAAGGACAGGTGCCTGGGAGCCCCATCCTGGATTCCCAGCAGGGCTGATGTCCCCACACGGGAGTCTGTCACTTTGTGTGGGACGAAAGTAGGGATGCCCAGCCGTGGTGCTGGACCCAAATGTGGCCAGCGAGAGCTAGTCAGCACCTCTCAGGCTCTGCCCACAAGGCGAAGCAGCTAGTACTTCCCACAATGCCCCGGCGCCTTCTCCCTGGGGGCTAGAAATGTCAACACCCTATACCTGTCTGTGCCTGCCAGCTCATCTGCTTTCTTCTTTTAATGCTCACCATGCCTGGGAAATGCCTTGCCATCGTGGAGCATGTTTCCACCTGCAGGCCGTGTGTTGAGCAGCCCTGCTTTAGAGCCTATAAATTTATACAGTCAGATGCCACCAACAGAAAGTTGATCATCTTCTTCCGTGGCTTGGGTTCTTTAGTTTTTGCATCAGAGTATTACTCTAAAAACTTCTGAAAATAGGGACATCCTTAGGATTTAATGGAGCCCTATGTGGTACTATTAAACTGGTGCCCATATACCCAATGGCAGCTGGGGGTTATGATATTTTGAGAGATGTGATTTTTATAATCTTCAGCAACTCACTAATGAAATGTTTTTAAAGCAAATTTTAAACTAAGGTCCTATAGACTAACAATACATTCAGAAGCTGACAATTTATTGGTGTTGTCAAATGCCTGTTAAATGGCTTCATTACCACTTGAACAGCTCTTTCACAGGTTTAATGTTCTGCTCATAGGTCTGGCAGGCTTTTTTTCTTTTAAGTTAACTAGATCATCTCCAAAAGGAAGTAGGACCACGGAACAGGAAGAGGCAGGTGGGTAAACGTTCAGATCCAGTGGTGCCCCAAATTTTCAGGCGCCCTATGCAACTGTGTATTCTGCATATGGGTAAGGATGACCCTATCTAAGAAATCATGCTTTATACCATCTCTCTCAGATTTTGGAAAGCACTTCAGATTCTTAAACCTTAGGCGGAGTGTGTTAGCTATTTTTAGAAATCTCACATTGTGTTCTTTGTGTCAAATCTACGGTGAAAGTGTTCTTAATGTTATCATCTGAGTCTATAACAAACCATGTTGCAGAATGCAGGTAAAACACAACAGGAGACATACAATTCCCCCCTCCTCCATCAAATTCAGTCACAAATTTAATAAATGCATTTTATAGAAACAATCAGCAGCAGCGTGGTCTCATGTCTTCTGGAATGGTGGTTGAAGCATGAATATGAATATGACATATGAATCTTTAGCGTGTCTGGCATTAAATACCTTGCAATGCCATCTATAAAAGTGCCAGCAAACGCCTATTCTCATTTTCAGGTGACATTGTAAACAAGAAGCAGGCAGAATTATGTCCTCAAAATTGTAATCAACTTGTTTGTTTGAGTCACTAGCTCAGAGGTAGGACTGAGTGGACTTCAGGTTCTAAAGTTTTACATTGTTTTACAGTATCTGTAAATACTGTAGTACTCTATTATGAAAGATGAACATACAAATGTAGAACTATGCACAAAAGAACTATATTCAAAAATAAAACAAAGTGAGCACTGTACACTTTGTATTGTATATGAAAACAGTATATCTGAAAATATAGAAAACATCCAAATGTATTGAAATAAATGCTATTCAGTTAACACCATGATTAATTGCAATTCATTTATTTAATTGCTTGACAGCCCTACATTTTTCATATCTCCATCTGAATAGCATTCTAATGTAAAACACAGGCATCTAGAAAAAAAAGCCTTTATGTGTTAGTCACTGAAAAAAACAAAAATACAAGCATATAGCATTCTGACCTGTGTGTACTTTTCATTGGTGAAAAATCCATATCAGACCGAATGTGCTTAGAAAAGCCACTTGGTGAGTCTGAAAGGCTGCTTGAAGAAACACGAGCTCGCTTTACACCTATCAAAAGATATCAAAGAGTCAGAAGAATCATTCTAAGAATCTCCTGGGGTTTAAAGCATTGGGAATTACGCTGGACTCTCCCATTAAAAATACATAGCTGCATCTTTTCCCCCCCATTTGTGTTCCAGTATCTGTAACATTTGAGACTATCATGGCAAACATCACCAAATAGAAATCTCAACTGCTGCAAAAATATATATCCTTAATACATTATTATTTTCAAAACTACTTCTAAAAGGAAGATCCTGCGCCGTAGCAATATCCTAAATAAAATCAGGAATAACTACTTTTTTTTTTATCCAAAACACATAATCTCAATAGAAAATACAGGAACTAGAATCCCTTAAATCCTTGCTTAAACTTATTCTGGTTTTAATGATTTATTTTTATGGTTGTGTCCACAGGGGAAAAATGCTTTCCAAATTCCCAAGATCTCATCCTGAAAACAATTTTTCACCACTGTTTGTTAAGGGCAGACCCCTTTTGTGGGGTGCTGACAGCACTCAGCTCCTTCTCCTATGATTCTGTGTAACAACCAGTTATAACAGCATCATTAAATAGAGCTATCATGCCCACATACGTAAATCTCCCAGGCCCAGATGACGACATTATAGCACTAATAAGAGAAGACCCAAGGTTAATGAGGTAACCAAAATACAACACTTGATCTCAAACATACATATGAATGCTTTAAAATCAATACTGTGCAGTGTACCTTTTTGATACTCCATTCACAGAGAAAGGAAGTTGGGAAGCAACATATCCAGAGGATGAATTAAGGTAGTCTGCACACTTTAACTGTGACTTCCCAGGCTTTAAGTTGTTTCAATTTAACCTTAATTCTAAATTTCTTGCCTTTAGAGTACAGGAAACCCTTGCCATTTGCAGTGGATGTGTCCCTGGCACAACCATGAATGGTGAAATTAGTGAATACTGGAAGGCATGGCTCCTGCCCTGAACTCACCACAGCTCCCACGGCAGTCGGGAGCTGAGGGGAAATCATTGCGGAGGTCAGGAGCCAAGAGGAACTCACTGCAGCTCCTGGTCCCTGCTGCATCCCAAGCTGGACAGGAGACTCCTGAAACACGTGGAACCATGAATCCCGAGTGGCTCCTGTAGTCTCTGCTAACCATAGCATTCCAAGCATTTTTACCCCCCAACACATCCTCTTAACCTTCACGTAAGCTGTCTATATTTTACAAAGCACTTAAAGACATTTACCTTTTTTCATAGGCCTGGTGTACCATCTGTCCTTTTTAATGTCTGCAATCGTAATCCTTGCCACGGGGCTCTCAGTTAGTATTTTGTGGAGCAAAGCTAGAAATGTAACATTCATAGGAAAAAACAATAAATTAACTGTCATATATCCTGATTTCTAGATCCATCAATTAGGTTTTCCTCAGCAGATTACACAGCATAAAACTTCAATTTCATCCCAAAGTTCCGGAGTTTATTAGTCTTAATTAAATCGAATCCACATTTTGATCACTCATGAAATAATACCAAATTAAGGTTAACTAGCTAGGATGGCTAACATAAGACCCAAGTTTGTGACTGAGGGTTTGTCTTCACTGGCATTTTAAAGTGCTACAAGTTTTTTTCTCAAGATACGAACCCTCCACCCGAGTGCAGCAAGTTACAGTTCTGTAAAGCACCAGTGTAAATTGGCTCCTTGCACTGGGAACTATAACTCATTTAAGGGATTTGCACAGAGTGCTGGAAGAGCTCTCTCTTAGCACTGGCGCTGTGGCCATACTTTCACTTTAAAGCAGTGCCATGACAGCATTTTAATGTTTTAAGGGAGGATGGAGCCTGAGTGTGTACCAAAGTCCACTGTGTAATACATGCGCTGTAGCCAGTGTACAGAGCCTTTGAAATAAGAAAACCTGCCATTGCAAATGTCAAATCCACCTTTATGAAGGCTTTCTAGCAGATTCCTGTAGGTCTTAGGCAAAACTGTGATACAAACAAAATCTAGTGCTCTGTATTTTAGATCACTCTAGGATGAGGAAGAAATGTAGTGACCAAAAACATGGGGTGGGAGTTAAATTTGACAGGCTCAGATTACCATTACAATAATGACAAACTCATTATTTAAAAATAATAAAAACATAGCTTAGTTGTACATATCTTCATTGACAGAATTTTCAGCTATTCCCCTTGGAAATTCAGTCTAAGATCTCAGGCCCCAATTCTTTATTAGCTTGTAAAGTCAACGCAGCTATGCAAAGCAGGTATAAAATAGTACCACATCAACACATCTCCTTGTCCTCACCGGCAAGTTACTGCACTTTAACTTTCTCACTCAGGAGTGTGAAAAAGCATCCGCTGAACACAGAAAGTTTCACTGCTATGAAGCACCATTGTAGACAGGCTCCCAACACTGGGAGCTCTCTCTCTCTCTCATTGAGTTGTTTTATTTTATTTTTTTTTAACTGGGAGAGCTGTCTCCCAGCGCTGGAGTGCAGCCAGAACATTGCATTAAAGCACGACCACGTAAGTACTTTAATCTGGTATGGGTAGACAAAGCCTAAGTGGCTGCATAGGCAATGCAAAGTCAGGCCCCACATCTTTAGAAGTTTGACTGGATAATCTCTTCCTACTGCCATTGCTGTTATATAAACCAAAGGTGTCCTACCAGTCTCACTTAAGAGCAAGACAACACTATTGTTCCACCTCCCATTTTCAGGTACAGGTTGCTCTTCTAAAATCCAGGATTCTCTGGTTTGGCAACATCCGTGGTGCAGCATGACCACGGATGTTCCAGAATCCAAGTCTCCCAGCACTACAGGGGGATGGAGGCCCAGGAGCCAACACACAGTGCAGCTGGGCTAAGATGGAGGGGGGTAGGGTGCTGGGACATGTCTCAGCTGGGCTGTCAGGGGAGGGTGGGGTGCCAGGAGCTGGCACATGGCTCAGGGGAGCTGGGGAGAAGCTGGGAGCAGGCGCATGGCTCAGCTGGGCTGCAGGGGGAGCCAAAAAGCCTGGTGGTGGGTGGGGTAGCAGCAGTGGATCTGAAATGACTTCCCCATGTCCAGAAAAATCTCTCATCCAGGACCAGTTAGGTCCCCAGGGTGCCAGACCAGGGAAGTCCAAATTGTAGCTAGCTAACGGTGACTTACAAGGGCCAAGTACTGTAAGATCCTGAGTCCATGGTAAAATCTAGCCGAGGGGTGGGCAATAATTTTTGATGGGAGACCTCTCCAAAATATTGGAAAGTGGTCAAGGGCAGCATTCTTCCATCATATTAATTGAGGAAGTGCAGGGCCTAGGATGGAGATTTGATGCAGAAGGAAGGTTGGGGTAAGGGATTGGAGTGCAGAAGGCAGTTGTGACCTGGAGTACTGGACTGGCCAACTACTCAGAGGATTTAACATAAACTTAATTGAGAGAAGTGGCTAGACAAATAAGGGGCTGCAGGGTCCCGATCACTGAGACCTCTTGCATATATGGATGAAGGAGTGGGGCACAGAAAGTGTGTATGTGGAATAGGGGGGCAGAAGTGGGGGATTGGGAAAGGGAAGGAGCTGGAGAGGAAGAGGCAGGCTCTGACCGGGAGACTTATCTGACTGACTCCTGACCAGCAGCCCAGCATGTCTCACAGGCAGGCAGCCTGCCCCATCCCTGCACAGGCTGCAGGGCCATGTGCATGTATGAATAACTATGAACCGGAGGGGTGGAAGGAATGTAGTGCTTTGCGTAAATAACAAGCAGCAAACAAGCAGCTCCCATTGACAAGTTTCCGGCCACAAACCGGCCAATGGGATCGAGCTGGTGGCAGGAGCAGCACATGAAACCTTCCTCCCCTCCGGGATCACAGTTTTTAAAGAGAAATGGCTCCGCAGACACTTTTCTGAGCAGCTTGCAGATGAGGTGAAGCAAGGAGGGAAGTCTGCCTGGGGCTCCTTGCAGCGTCTGCTGGACCTGATCCGGTGGCCTGGTAGGTTGGATCCAGCCCACAGGCCGTATTTTGCCCAGGCCTGATTTAGCCTTTAGACAGAATTATTTTTGAATAAAGACATGCATAAATCCAATATTTTATTCTAGAGAAGATGTCAGTGTCCTACTCAAATACATAAGTCAGTCAACCCAGTGACAACTTACCTAATGGTGCAGAATCAATCTTCTTCCAAGGTGGAAGGTATATTTTCTTTTCCTTCCAATCACAGTATTCTTGGCAACTGTCGCTAGGCTGGTCCCAGGGCAATTCTGCAAGACAAAAAAGAGACAGGTACCGAATTATTTTTATACCTCTGAAGACAAGTTTAAGAATTACACATATAGGAGAGATGGGAAAGAGTACTGCCATTGAACTAAATGGCTTTCAAGATAAGGAAAATGGAAGATGATGGTCCAGCTTGACTGTGGTTACAAGTTATAAAAGTGCCAAGATACCTAAAAGTCATTTATTTGCTCCAAACTAGTTCCATTTAATTAATGTAATTAAATCATCTGTTTAGGAAATATCCTGACCTCATAAAATTGTCAGTGGCTCCACAGAGAACTCTGTGCCACAAAAATCTTGGTAAATTTTGCTCCCTTTGTAAAACAGCCCCAATGCAGCACTTTGTTATAATAAGGTAATGAGAGTCATGTTCAAGAGTAGAATTATTAGAGTATTTTATAAAGTATTTTATAAACACCAAATAAAACGAAGATCTGTAGCTTAGAATGTTTTTTTCTGTATTTCACATTCTTATAGAAGCTTACACTGATGCAAAAGTAGAACTTACCAGTCCTTTATTAAAATCAGAAGAGATTTCAAATATCACAGGTGTAAGTGGACATTTGGAAGCAAGGACCCAGTTTTTATTCAAGGGGTTCCCAGTAATAATACCCCACATACAAGCAAAACAGTTTGTAAAGTTTCACCAGGAAGCATTAATGATTATTTCCTGCTCTGGTTCAAGTGGAATTGCTCTACAGTTCCAGGTAATCCATTGAAATGCTTCTATAATGGTGGTGAACCCTGTCAGCCTATAGCGTAAATACAAGGAGTACCTTAAAGACTAAGGAATTTATCATGGCATAAGCCTTCGTGGGATGCAGCTCACTTCCTTAGATGCATGAAGTGGAAGCTTCAGCATGACAGGGATTTATACATACCAAGATGAGAGCGTGACATTACTATGTGGAAGATCAGTGCTAATGAGGCTAATTCAATCAGGAATCCTACAAAAAGTGGAAAACAGGTCAAACTACAAAGGATGAATACAGAGAACCTTGCCATTCTCAGTGGATGTGTTTCTGATTAGGGATATGAAAAGTTAACTGCCTGCAGCAGGGGAGCCACTCCAGCCCCCACACCCCTGCCCCTCTTTAATCAGTTAACTGGTTAAACATAAATATTTAACCAATTAATTAAATGGGACACCACTGCAAATAGCAAAATCTGAATACTGGGAGCAGGGGGAAGCAGAGTGAGTGCGCTGTTTCTCTAAGGCTTCTGGCCACTGTGATGTGTGCAGGGGGCAGGGAGTGCTTGAGCACTGCTGCTGCCCTGCACATCCCGCTTAGGCCTGTAGATGGGATGCAATGGGGAGGAGGCAGTTTGACAGGGTGATGGTAGGAAGGGAATCCATGAATATGCAAAATCACAAAGTTATACAAATTGTGAGGGTCTGCTGTATAAACAACCACCACAAGTATGTAGGGGCAAAATTAGAAATGCAAAGGCACAAAACAAGCTCAAACTAGCTAGGGACATAAAAGGTTACAAGAAAATATTCTATGAATATATTAGAAGCAAGAGGGAGAACAAGGACAGGGTAGGCCCCTTATTCAGTGAAGCGGGAAAAACAAAAACAGAAAAGGTGGAAGTTGCAAAGGTGCTTAATGACTGCTTTATTTTGGTTTTCAACAAGAAGCTTGGTTGGTGATTGGACACCGAGCATACTGAATACCAATGAAAGGGAGGTAGGTTCAGAAGTTAAAATAGGAAAAGAACAAGTTAAAAATTAGATGCTTTCAAGTCACCAGGGTCTAATGGAATGCATCACAGAATATGAGCAGATATCTGAACCACTAGTGATCATCTTTGAAAAGTCATGGAAGACAGGAGAGATTCCAGAAGTCTGGAAAAGGGCAAATATAGTACCATCTATAAAAAGGGAACTAAGGACAACCCATGAGAACTACAGACCAGTCAGTTTAACTTCTGTGCCAAGAAAGATAATGGAGCAACATCTGGAAGACAATAAGGTGATAAGTAATCATATGGATTTGTAAAGAACAAATCATGTCAAACCAATCTGAGAGCTTTCTTTGATAGGATAATATGCCTTGCGAATGCATATTTAATGCGGTATACCTAGACTTTAGTAAGGCATTTGATAGTCTTGCACAAGCTTCTTATAAACAAATTAGGGAAATACAACCTATATGGCTGCTATAAGGTAGGTGTATAACTGGCTGGGTAACTGTTGCCAGAGAGTAGTTATCAATGGTTCAGTCATGACAAGTGGGGTTCCACATGAATTAATTTTGGGACCACTTCTGTTCAATATCTTCATCAACAATTTAGATAATGGCATAAAGAATATGCTTATAAAGTGTGACGATGATACCAAGTGGGGAGGGATTGCAAGTGCTTTGGAGGATAGGTTTATAATTCAGAATTATCTGAACAAACTGGAGAAACTGACTGAAGTAAATAGGATGAAATTTAATAAGGAGAAAAACAAAGTACTACATTTAGGAAGGAACAAATTTCACACACACAAAATGGGAAATGACTGTCTAAGAAGGAGTACTGCAGATAGAATCTAGGGGTCATAGTGGAGCACAAGTTAAATAAATATGAATCAGTAATCAGAGTGACACTGCTGAGAAAAAAAAAAAAAAAGAGCTCCCCAAAAAAACCCAAACACCATTCTGGGACATATTAACCAGAGTGCTGTAAACAAAACACAAAAAAATTTATTCCACTCTACTGTGCTGATTAGGCCTCAACAGGAGTAGTGTGTCAAGTCTGGGTGCCACATTTCAGGAAACGTGGACAAACTGGAGAAGGTCTAGAGAACAGCAACAAAAATGATTAAAGGTCTAGAAAACATGACCTATGAAAGAAAACTGAAAGAACTGGGTTTGTTTAGTTTGGAAAAGAGAAGACAGAACCTAAAAGGTTGTTACAAGGAGGAGGGAGAAAATTTAACCTCTGATAATAGGACAAGAAGCAATGGGCTTCAATTGCAGCAAGGGATGTTTAGATTGGGCATTAGGAAAAACTTCCTGCCAGGGTGGTTCAACACTAGAATAAATTGCTTAGGGATGTTGTGGAATCTCCATCATTGTCTAACTGAAACCTGAAAATAGAGACTGCAAGAGACAGTAAATAAAACAAGGGAAGTAACTAAGAAGCCACAGCAAAACTTCCTTGTGATCATATGTAAGTGGACTGTTGTCCCCTTGCTAAAACTGAGTTAAGGGTTTTAGTTGGCTAATTCCCAGTACCAAAATTAAGGGGGAAGGGTGAATGGAAAAAAAAAATCAGGATCCTGGGACTGACAGTCCCCAGGATCAAGGAGAGAGGTCAGCTACAGCCTGATTGACAGGGCAGGCAGGCTAATGAGTCCCATCCTTTGTCTGAGCTGTAACTGCCTGGAACAGAGTGGGACCAAACTAAGGACAGCGCAGGAAGCTGAGTTGAGCTGGGGAGCAGAGTTGTGTCAGCCAAAGCCAAAAAGGTAGCCCGGGGAGCAAGTCAGAGCTGGGAGCAGAGCAACAGCAGCAAAATCAAGAGAAGAAGTCCAGGGAGCCAGTCAGTGCTAGGAGAAGAGCTACAGAAGCAGCCCAAGGAGAAGATCTATTCTGGGAGTAAAGCTGCAACAATTAGAGCCAGAAGCGCCAGAAAAGCAGATCAGGGAGATGGAGGCAGAGCACCAACAGTCCTAGGACTGGAGCAGGGACTAGAGCTGGAGCAGTTCAGAGCTGCATGCAGCATGCCCCAAGCCAAGAGACCTTGCGGTTACAGATCAGACTTGAAGGAGGTTCATAAGCCTGAGGGAAGGGGAGAAAAGGAGATCTGAAGCTGGGAAGAAGGGTCTTGCCACTTAAAGCCAGAAGGTCAGAGAAAGTGTTCAACCCACAGCATTCCTACAGCTCAGCCAGCCCCTGAGAAGGCGGTCTGGGGTTTGTGAGGAAAAGCCTTCCCTTCCCCCACACTCTAGAGATGGCTATTTCTGATGTCTCCATGCCACAGAGATTATGAGTTTCTTTAAAATTATCATAGGTTTCCTTTTTAAAAATTGAATGATATTTAATAAATTGTATTTGAACTGTATATAATGATCAGTGGATCAGGGAAGCATCCAATATGGAGAGAGCACTCTGGAGTGGATACATCTCAGCCCCTGTCTTAAGTGATCAATTGAGCCCCTCAGGAATCCTGGGCCCAACCTGTTGGGGTTATGAGGACTCTGCCACACAGGAGAATGGAAGGGGAGACCTTGAGGGCAGGCAGGCCTTTGGGTAAAGGAAGTGGGAATGAAGACTCAGATCCTTTAATGAGCCCATTTCACCAGGGTAACCAGAAAAGTCCCAATAGGGGGGAACTTGCACATATACTAGGGATGTGATAGTGTACACAGTTACACACAGTTCCCACTCCGACCCCACACTGCAGCCTCTGAAAGAAGCAGCAGGAGAGGGGGACAGGTGGTTACCTCGGAGCTTAAAAGCCAGCTCTGCACACACCAGCTCTCAGGAAGCTGGCCCCCTCATGTAAACGTGTAACTGCTTAGTTTCAGCAGCTACATGTTTACATAAATATATGCATTTCAACATCCCTAACATACACCAGTGGTTCATATACTATAGATATATTTTTTCCAAGGATGCAGCCCACATAATGCAGCCTGCCATTTAGAACCAGAAGGCCAGAGTTGCAATGGCAAATAGAAAGAAAGCCAATGGAATATACTATAGCCACAACAGAACAAGACAGTCCATGGAAGATGACCCCTAAGAGAATCTATTAAAAAGCTGACCATGATATGAAAGTTTGAGAAAATATTTGAAATACACTTTTTACTTTCCCCATGATTTGAGATCAACTCTACAAATCTATACCGGTTATGAGCATTTGTACTTGGAATGCTCTCCCCCCACGCCTTCCCTTCACCTATTTATTTCGAGTTTCCTTATCCTCTAATCATAACGCCGGTCATCTGAAGAAGTGGGCTATGCCCACAAAAGCTCATGATACCATCTATATGTTTTGTTAGTCTATAAGGGTATGTCTACACTAGCCGCCTAGTTCGAACTTGGGAGGCTAATGTAGGCATTCGAAGTTGCAAACGAAGCCCGGGATTCATTTGCATCTTTCTGGGCGCCGCCATTTTTAAATGTCCCCTAGTCCGAACTCCGTGCCCGCGGCTACACGCAGCATGGAGTAGGTAGTTCGAATTAGGATCTCTAATTCGAACTACTGGTACACCTCGTGGTGGTACCGGTAGTTCGAATTAGAGATCCTAAGTCGAACTACCTACTCCGTGCCGCGTGTAGCCGCGGGCACAGAGGTCAGGAATTAGAGATCCTAAGTCGAACTACCTACTCCGTGCCGCGTGTAGCCGCGGGCACAGAGTTCGGACTATGGGACATTTAAAAACGGCGGCGCCCGGAAGATGCAAATGAAGCTCAGGATATTTAAATCCCGGGCTTCATTTGCAACTTCAAATGCCTACATTAGCCTCCCTAGTTCGAACTAGGTGGCTAGTGTAGACATACCCATAAGTACTACCAGACCATTTGCTTGCTATTTTTTTTTCTGTAACAGACTAACCCCCTGAAGCTTCTGGAATACTTAATCACTGTGAAGCTACAGTAAATATGCATGTTATAAAATAGTTTATGTAGTGAGAAGAAATTGACCAGCTCCTACCTCCTGCTAACATAGCAGTAAGTACTATCCCACATGACCAAACGTCAACTGGCTCTGCATGGAATTCTTTTCTCTTTAACAGTTCTGGGGCAACATATGGAAGAGTGCCACACATCTTGTTTAACAGTCGCTCACGACCATTGTGCTTAAATACAGTAGCTAAACCGAAGTCAGAGATTTTGAGATTATCTAAGCAAAAAAGAAAAGTCATTAAGTATATTGTGTAAAAAGGTATTTTCATTGTCTCTGGTAGAAGACTTATGTTAAAGCTAGACAAAACCAAACCTAAGCACATTTACACTTACTCTAAGGTCCCCTTTACACATTGCCAGTGCTGTATAAATGGGCAGTAATAAAAGTGAAAATCAATCTTTTCCTTGTTTCACATCATAGCCATTTATACAATTGATATGAGGGGACATGGGCTCTGGGGTGGGGGGGCTCTGGGCTGAGCACTGGGCAGAGGGTTGGGATGCCAGAGGTGGTAACAGGTGCAAGCTCTGAGAAAGTTTGGGTGCGAGAAGGGGTTCCAAGCTAAAGCAAAGTATTGGGGTACACGAGAGGGTGTGAGGTGTTAGCTCAGAGGGGGCTCAGGGCTGGGGGTGCTAAGAGGATATAGGGTGCTTGCTACAGGAGGGGGCTGGGGCATGGCCTCCTACCAGCCAGCTCCCAGTTGGCTCCCATGCTGCTCCCAGAATGGGCCCAGATGCCTGTGGCCCCTGGAAGTAGGAGTGGGACAGGAGGCACATGGCTCCATACCAGGGGTGGGCAAAAGCCTCTCAGAGAACCTCTCAGTTCCAGGCCCCGTCCCCTATCACATTGCCTGGGAGCCCTTTTAACTGCTTCTATTTAAAGGGCTTGTGCTTTCCCCATGGCTGCCAGGCAACAAGTTGCCCAACAAGCATGGGAAAGGTGCAAGCCATTTAAAGAAAAGCAGTTAAAAGGGCTTGCAAGTCCCAGCTCTCTGGCAATGCACTAGCAGCACCAGGAGCTGTGAGCACTTTTAACTGCTTCTACTTAAACGGTTCACAGCTGCCGGGTGGCTGCATTGCCTGGCAGGCTCAAGTCCTTTGCACCTTCCCTATGGCTGTCAGGCAACAGCCCCAGGGAAGGTGTGAGACCTTTAAATAGAAGCAGTTGAAAGGGCTCTAGTGTCCCCAGCTCCCGGGCAGCATGTGAGCAGCAAGGCTGGGAGCAGCGAGCTCTTTAAACAGCAGCAATTGAAAGAGCTCGCAGCTCCCATCCTCTGCCACAGGAGAGGGGTGAGCCCTTTCAACCCCTACTATTTAAAAGGCCCCTTCCACCTGAGGCCCTTCCCCTGTTAGTCCGAGGCTCTGCCCCTTTCCAGGTGGCTTGGTGACCTCTTCAGAAATTTTTGAAGTAGCCCTTAATAAAAAATTATTGCCCACCCCTACTTCACACACTGTCTTTCTCTGCCAGAACCACCCATTCAGCTTTCACTGGCCACAGCTGCCTGTTCCAGGCCAATGAGCACTGTGAAGGACTATGCTTGCAGGCAGTAGCAGTGTGTCAGGAATCCTACCGCACGCCCTCACTTCACACAAACTGGGCTACATCAGCTGCTTTTATGATCAAGCTGGCAGCCTGCCTTAGTGACAGCCCTGATATCACTACTGACTGGGAAACTACCCAGGATCTTCCAGTTGATTGCAATTGATCAGTTGGTGACCATTGCTCTAAGAGTTTGTGCAGATATGTTCTCTCCTTAAATAATGAGGAGTCCTGTGGCACCATAAAGACTAAGGGTATATCTACACTGCACAGCTATTTTGGGATACCTCTGGTCTAGCCCAAGTCTTAAACCTTCCGCTATTTCAAAATATCTTTCGAAATAACGGGTGCCCTAGTTCAGCATCCTGGTAACCCTCATTCCACAAGGATTAGGGATGTCTCAAAATAGCACATTATTTTGAAATTCAATCAAAATCCGATACGCAATTTGTGTAGTACAAATTGCATATCTTATTTTGAGTTTAGGGTGCCATGTAGACATACCCCAAGAGATATATTTGGACATAAGCTTTTGTGGATAAAATCCCACTTCATCAGTGGGGAGCAGGCAGGAGTGCATACACTCCAGGTTGACCTCCACAATTCTAAACACTGAATTGTCTTAAACTTCCAATAAAAAAGTTATTCAGAGTTCATGGAAACATTGAATTGATTACAAGATTTTGTAAGAACAAGCTTTAACAAAACTCAACTTTTAGTCAAGTGGCCTTTAAAGGCCACTCACTCTGCAAAGATCCAGAATAACTTTACATTTAAGAGATGAAGTCAGAGGTTTTTATACTTACCCCTTTCATCTAGCAGTAGATTTTCAGGCTTAATGTCCCTGTGAGTTATTCCTATACTATGGAGATATACCTGAAAAAAATAAAGGCTTTAATACCATGTTCTGTTTAGTTAAACTGTAAAAAGGAGCTTGAAATAAATGCATAAAAGTATGACACTTACCACACCAGCCATAAGCTGATGAAAAAACTTCTGTGCATCTGGTTCAGGCATTCCTATATCAGGCTCTATAAAAAGTCATTCAGAATAGACATACCAAAATGCTTTTCTTCCATCAAACAAATTATGGAAAAGAAAGGCTGCGCTATGTTTTTGTAACTATTTTACAAAGTTTCCTGGATACTCTGCTCAATATTTTTCACCTGTCTTGAAACAGTAACGACAGGCAATGCAAAAATGTAATGAATGGTTACACCGCAATGATTACAATGAGTTACACTGCAGAGGCTGGGACTCCTTGTGTACATACGGCATTCAACTGTAGTCTATATTTCACTTTCTAGGAGCAAATTAATTGCCTCAAATGCCAATCTAAAGACCTGTTTGGAAGTAGTGTAGAGCCCTCTAATGTAGAGGGACCAGGATCCTTCAGGTCCCACAAGACCCACTGCCATAATAACAGGAGTGATTGGGAATGCCAAAAGCTTCTCTACTTTAAAAAAAGCTAATTGGTAAGTTAATATTAAGATGCACACTGAAAAAAGAACCAAGAGTTATGTTAAAAAAGGCTTCTCTACATAAATACAAAATATTCCTTTACTTAACTGAAATTCATTACTACTGAAGAATATGCATTGTTACAACTTTTATCAGAATATTCCATTTAGAGCTCTGCTTCAGCAGTTTTAAAATTCCAATGGGAGGGAAAAAAAACAAGAAAAATTGTGGATTTTTTGTACTCAGCTACTTTTGTGGTTTGAAATGCTAATTAAAACTTCCAAGAGACAGATATCTACTTATGGCCCAGACATTTAGTTAAAAAAACTTCAGAAGGATTTTTGCTGTGCACATTAATCTATTTGCTAAACGCAATTTAAATACTCAACACTTCTGCTTTTCTGCTCTACTGGGTTAGGTGATTTATAGAATTAACATTCTCTAAATCATAATTAAAACAGTGCAATCTCTGAAGTAAAACCAATCTGAGACCAATTATATTATATCCGGAAGACATTGTTTAAAGAGACTTCCTCTTTGCAACAAAAACTTTGTCACATGACTTGTAAGCAAGCGATTTTTACAAAATCAAATGCAAAGAAAAACGTTTAATTAGATCAGTGAAATGGCACTAAATCCTTTATGATTTATAAAGAGGACATCAAAATACTTTTGAAAAGTGTCTATATTTGGAAGTCAGGCCAGGATATTTCTCATTCTTCTGGAGGATTCTGGCAAGGACTTCAGTGGACTTTGAAAATGCCCAAACACCAGTCCAAGGCTTGTAAAAATTGCCCAATGCATGCTAACCCAAGTTCTAAGCCTAGCAGCTAGAATGAATAATAGCTTGTGCTGCCACTACCCTTGACATTTTAAAGGAATTAAAGAGTTGTGTACTACTATATTTAATAGCTTTTAAAAAATAAAGTACAGGCAGTCCCCAGGTTACATGGATCCGACTTGCATCGGATCCCTACTTACAAACGGGGTGAGGCAACCCCGCACTAGCTGTTTTCCCCCAGCAGACCAGGGAGACGCGAAGCTAGTGCCCCCCCTCCAGCAGACCAGGGAGACGCGGAGCGGCTTTTCTCAGCAGACACCTCAGCTTGAGAATAAAGGACTGAGGGAAGTGAGGTGTGGGAGAATAAAACTGAGCTCTGGAGAAATGTTTGGCTAGAGTTTCCCCTACAATATGTACCAGTTCTGACTTACATAAAAATTCAACTTAAGAACAAACCTACAGTCCCTATCTTGTACGTAACCCAGGGACTGCCTGTAACTCTCTATATCAGGGGTCTCAAATCCCCAGCTTGCAGGCCATTCCCAGCCAGAAAAGTTGCACAATCTGGCCCAGGAGTCCCAGTGCAGACTCTGTTCAAATCCCTCAAACCCTGCCTTTTCCCACCATTGCCTCGCCCTCTTTATGGTCTCCCATCCCCCTCAGGGATTACTAGGGAGGCCTGGCATGAGGCAGCAACAGTGGTGAGCTCACATGCTTCCCCCCCCCCCAGAACTCGGGGGAAGCAGAGCACACTTGCTCCGCTTCCCTACGCCTCCCACTGCCACAGGAAGTGCAACGGAGGCTGGACCGCTGCTGCCGCCCCGTACCAGGTCCCCTGGTAATCCTGGAGACTGCATTTCCTGAGGGATGGGGTATCAAAGATGGGAGGGCAATGGTGGGAAGGGACTGGTCAAGCCCCAACCTGCATTGCACAACTGCTGTGGCTGGGGATGGCTGACGTCTTTTGCATTTATTATACCTTTTTTAAAAATCCTGGCTGCATTCCATTTTCTCTTTTCCTACAAGATGTTTCTTCTTGCATTGGTCTCAGGGTCAGTTTCATCTAAATACCAAAGAATTAAATAATCTAGCCTAAAAGCACACAAGTAAGAAACCAACCCCAACTAGTTGGTGCACTTCCACTTCATTACTTTCCTGGCTGACATGAGGAGTTGATTCCAATATTTCTCATATGTTTGTGATGATTTTATGTTCTCCTTAGCACTACCAATATTTGTTATCTATATACTACTGAGTTTTCTCAATCAGCAGCAGAGTGAAACTGACCTTTCTTTCCAGCTTCACTGCTACATAGTAGGTTCTGAATATTAACAGACGATAAATCTGACATAACTAGTCAGTACAACCAACAGCATAGGCACTATTGCATTGTGAAAAATACTACTTCCTCCATTCACATTGGTGACTTCTGTAACTGTAAGAGCTAGATTTTTACGTAATGAAAGCATAGATTCTGTAAAAACTGAAAGCACGGACCAGGGAAAACATCAAGTTATCTTGTTTAAATTATCTTTCCTTGTGAAAATGATGGCTGTCAACAGTTTTATAACAGGTTTTAAACTAGGATTATGCTATCAATAGCGAACATAACCATAGTTACGCACAGAAACTCCTGCAGGCTTCAATGCCTAGACAGGGTGCACATAGTGCCCATTAAACAGAACTGTACACTTGAAGGGGAATATACTACACACTGAATTTTGATCTGATAATCACTGGAATGCAAGTCTGTACATATTACATTTTCTAGCCCATTTACCATATTTGCTCCCAAACCATTCCCCCCAACTAATTTAATCTATAGCATTAAATATATAGAATTTCTGAACTCTTAGGGATCATGCTAAGTGAAGTGAACTAAGGTTTGAAAGACAGAAATCCTACTTCTAACTATGGCTTAGTCACTGAGGCTGTGTCCAGACTCCATGCCTCCGTCGACGGAGGCATGTAGATTAGCCAGCTCGGAAGAGGGAAATGAAGCCGCGATTAAAATAATCGCGGCTTCATTTAAATTTAAATGGCTGCCCCGATCTGCCGATCAGCTGTTTGTCGGCAGATCGGGAGAGTCTGGACGCGATGCCCCGACAAAGAAGCCTTTCTTCATCGACACAGGTAAACCTGGTTTCACGAGGCTTACCTGTGTCGATGAAGAAAGGCTTCTTTGTCGGGGCATCGCGTCCAGACTCTCCCGATCTGCCGACAAACAGCTGATCGGCAGATCGGGGCAGCCATTTAAATTTAAAAGAAACCGCGATTATTTTAATCGCGGCTTCATTTTCCTCTTCCGAACTGGCTAACCTTCACGCCTCCCTCCTCATTTCCCTCTTCCGATCTGGCTAATCTACATGCCTCCGTCGACGGAGGCATGGAGTCTGGACACAGCCTGACTCACAACATGCACAAGGATAGGCTGGCTTTTCAGGTGAGTATCCCAGACACTTTCCTTCTGAGATCAGTGGCACTGGAAGAATACAATAAGGAATCCCTCTCATCTTACAAGGCAACTACAATGTTATAATGAGTCTATACAGCCATCACCAGAGTTGTCTTCAGACCCTCCCCTCCAAAGGGATGTTCAGAATTCTGTACCTATTCGGTCAAAGAGCTCTCCCCCACTGCAATACTCCAGGAAGAGGTATTGAATACTGCCTTCTCTACGATGTCCATAGAATTTTACAATGTTCTCATGATTTAACATCTTATTAATGCAGATTTCTTTTTTTATGTTTTCTGGACAGTCCACAGCACGTTTCATGTCAACTATCTTTACTGCAACAGCTTCTTCTGTACGTCTGTTCACAGCAAGCTGAACTCTGTAGAAGTGGAGGAAAAAAGCAAGGTTACAAGGGACAAAGCAAGTAGCTGTCTATGAACCTATGAATGCAAAACATTATAATGGATATACTCAGTGGAAGTTAGCCACCAAAGTCAATGGGAGCTCAGCACCTAACATCTTTCAGGATGGGGGCTTGACACTGTGGCAGGGGTAGGAACCTTTACTGGGTCAGGACAATGTGTTCCTTCTAATTTTTTCCATCCATGCGGAGAACAAATTTTGTTATGTGCACCAAGGCATACACAGATGTGCACCACCAACAGAAACACATGCTTCTGACTGTGGGCTGCTATGAGTACTCTACTAATCAGCAAAGAGGCATCTGAATTCTCTCCCGAGTGGGCACCCAAGCACACAGCTTACAGGGAACACTGGTCAGGAGTCAATAACCTAGAGAAAAATCAGTACAAGTGAGAAAAATGATTACCTCTCAAGGATTAGCATGAGGTCTAACCCACAGTCTGAGTTTAAACCCCATATTGAGATGGGGTATGTAAAGTAGGGATGTAAAATCCTGTTTAAATGTACTGTAATATTAAATAAAATGCTTAACTGGTTAACTGATTAAGGGGGGGGAAGCCAGAGAGGCCACTGCAGTGGACAGGAGCTGCTCTGGCTGGGCAGAGTGCTGCTCCAGCCCTCACTGGTTAACCTGTTAAGGGTGAGTCTAACTAGTTAACCATTCACATTCCTAGTTTAAAACCAGTCTCCACAGACCTGTATGTTCATGTTCCTAGACAATTAATAAGGTGCCTGGACACATAGAAGGTTTACAGCTGTACAAGTTGTAAAAATATTGATAAGCATTTAATGTTTGAAAACTAAATTAGAGAGGTAAAAGGTTAACTAGCGGGCTGAAGCAAGTGCTCCATGGTGGGGCCAGCCAGAGCAAGCCCCCCAGCCTATGGGACCCCAGCCCTCCACAGAGCCCACGAAAAGCTAATGCCCAAATACATTTGTTAATCTTTAAGGTCCCATAGGACTCCTCATTGTTTTGAAACTTGCTTACACCAATGAGTGTCACTGAAGTGTCATGCCTGAGCTTTAAAAATAGCCACATAAAGTTAATGAAATTGCCAATGAACACAAAAGTCAGTGTTTAAATTAATTCTTACGTTTGTTTAATAATTTACAACGCATTCCTAAGTATATGAAGCAAAACAAGATGACTGATGCGACAAGGCGCACCAAGAACTATTGCACTGCCCAGCTAACTGCTGGCGTGAGACACACATGCTACAACGGCAGTATTGGACCGCTGCATATATGGGAGGAGGGCACAAGTGTCTTGGGAATTCAGGCACATGGACCTGTCCCTTCTGGTGACCTCAAGGGGCCCCCAGGCCTTCCCCCAGCCTCTCTGCACAGCCAGCTGGGGGCTGGCCAGAAAGACAAGCCTGGCTGCCCTGTAAGAGCTGCGAGGGGCCGGGTCCCGGCTAGGGACTGGGTACATATCTTATCCGTGGGGGGGGGGTGGCCAGAAAGACAAGCCTGGCTGCCCTGTAAGAGCTGCGAGGGGCCGGGTCCCGGCTAGGGACTGGGTGTATATCTTATCCGGCAGCAGAGCGGGCGGGGGGGCAGGAGCCAGCTCCCCCCAGCACCGCAC